TTTACTGGTCTGTCCTAGTTAGAGACGGCGGAGAGCAGATTTGGTGTAGGAAGACAAAACTGTGGGTGGTTACGACTTATCAGCTTCTGTGTGTGTTTTTTAATCATTGTAAAGTGCACAATATTAAAGAAAAGCTGAAGAAGTGTGGCTGCAGAGATGAAGCCGGTGTAATCTACAGCTTTGATTGTATATAGATCTGTGGTAAATGTTATTGATGAGGCTCCTGGACTCATTATCTGATACTGGGATAACAGAGGATTCTCTGTGTTTAGAGAGAGGAGGTGTTTGCTTTGTGGCATATGCAAGGGTCTTGTGGCAGATATAAGGGTCAATTAGCAAATCACATCACACGCTAGATGCTTCCACGTACAGATGTGCTCTTTCAATAGATAAGTCATGTGCTGACATAAGCTTATGTTCATGTGTGAAGGAGGGAAGGACGGTATATAGTTGGTTTCATATATAATCTGCATTAACCGGAGCATGACTGCCTATATTTTTGTACTATACAAGTAAATGAGCGCATGCCACAAAAAAAACAAGTGCAGGTCAAAATATATAGTGTTGAAGTCAGAATTATTGGCCCTTCTGAATTATTAGCCCCCTGTATATTTATTTCCACAATTTCTGTTTAGCAGAGAAAAGATTTTTTCAAAACATTTCTAATTTCTATTTCAAAGCGTAATAGTTTTAATAAATAATTTCTAATAAATTCATTCATTCAATTATTTTCTTTTTGGCTTAGTTCCTTTATTAATCAGAGGTCGCCACAGCGGAATGAACCGCCATTTCTAATAATTGATTTCTTTTACTTTACCATGATGACAGTACATAATTGACTAGTACAGTGGTCCCTGGCTATAATAAGATTCACTTTTCACGACTTCGCAGTTTCGCAGATTTTTTTTCTTCAAGGAAATTTACATGCTTTTTTCTATAACGCATTGTGTTCTGTGTCCTGCTTAGCGCATTGTGTTCTGCATCCTAACTAGCAAAGTCTAGATAGGATACAGCTGCGGAAATGCACATCAATATAGCATCATTTTTGTAACACTGTATAACAATAATTAAATTTTTTGCAGTACTGTGACAGTAGGGTTTGAAGGTTGGGCTAGGGGTAGACGTAAAAAAATACAATTTATTGGGTAGTTGACCCTTCGCTAAGCCCCACCCACCCAGTTACTGTTGCTACACCTGTCGAGCTTTGTGCCTGGCCCATCTATTACAAAATGAATGCTCTGGTGTGAGACATTGCCAGGGATATAATTAGACATTTTCGCCACAGGTGAGATATCAGAGAAAGCCAGACAAAAAAAGGGCTGCAGTATGCATTACAGGGGTATATTCATGACTTAAAAGGCAACCGATTAGAAAATAATTTAATCAAAATTGAAGCTAGGTTAGGCTAGCTGCCTCAGACGTTGACCATTCAACAGCTTAGTTCACACACAGCAGGAGAGGTGACATTTAAAAATACTCTAATAACAACAAATTGTGCTATGAAACATAACATGCTTTGTATTTTTGTAGGAAACACAGTTTAAATCGGTTTAGGGTAAAAGGTGTGTGAGTTATTGCCGTCTATGACTGTGTCAGGAATATTGAAAACAAAACCAACTTAACTCCGCTCCTTTAGCGCCCCTCCCAGAGCTCTATGAACACAGGCATTTCTCCTCTTGGGTTTTAGGTTTTGAAAAGGGAAAAAATCCCACCACCCCATCCAAACTTTTAGGATACCGGGTATCAGATTTGCACAATCCATATGCACAACACATTGGCTTGTTTCCCTCACTCGAAAGCTTGACAGGCCTTCTGGACGTAGCTACGGTTGCTAAGCCACAATTGGTGTGTGGCGGTTTTTGGGTGTGGCTTAGAGAAGGGTCAATTTAAGATAACATAATATTATGTACAACTACTGTTTGCGGCTCGGTTTAGGGTTGGGGTAGGGGTAGACATTAATAAAACACAATCAATGGGAAATTTAATAAATAATTCTATAATAAATTGCGGTCACAATCCTATCTGATCTAGTAACAACCAGGTTACATGGTAAAATCTAGATAGGATACACAGCCAGCCAGAAGTGCAATATGCACATCAATATAGCAGCATTTTTTATGACACTGTATAAAAATAAATAATATTTTACAGTACTGTGACGGTTGGATTTAGGGTTGAGGTAGAGGTAGACGTTTAAAATACAATTTATTGGGTAATTTAATATATAATATAAATAGAACTCTGTAAAAGAACTTTTTTACATTACTGTGATTGTTGGGTTTAGGGTTGGGGTGGGTATGAACAGTAATAAAATAAAAATAATTGCTAAATTTAATAAATGATATAAATAATTTTGGTTATTTTCTGTTCACAGCAATATCTGATCTAGTCAAGTCAAATGGCTGTAGGGCATCATTACAGAATAAATAAATGAGGTTCAATGGTTTGGATGTTTGATTCTATAATACTGGACTTATTTTTCTTTGAAGGTTTCAACTTTAAGGGCCCTATTATACACCCAGCACAATAAGGTGCGAGATGTGTTTCCATGACGTGTTGCTATTTTTTGACTAATGCAAAACCTATTTTTCACATTTTCCACCACGTTGTTTAAATAGCATATCTATTTGCACCACTTTGTGGACTCATGGGTGTTTCGGTCTAGAAAAGAGATGTGTTAAAGCGCATTGCTGGTGCATTGCTATTTTGAGGAACTAAAATAAACGGTGCATTAGACCAGCTGGAAGCAGATCTAAAGTTCAGCGCAGTGCACATTAGATGTGCGCATCGCTTACACATTGCTTAAAACTCACAGGATGTACAATAATACACAAATATCTTTACAAGTGAAAAAGAATTAACGGATTAAAATATTTTTTAAAATATTACTTTCTACATGAATATAAAAACCACTGCCTTCATCTCTTCTTCTAAATGATGTTTTAAATGTTCTAAATCTTCTAAATGTTTTTTAGTTTATTCATGACAATTTGCTTTAGTATAATGTTATTATTATTATTATTATTATTAGTGTTATTTATTATATCCATATTTATATTTGTTTTATTAAAAATAAGCTTAGATTTGTCCACCTGTCAGGTTTTGGACCATACGGGGCATAGCATGTGTATTTGGATATAACTCAGTTGTTTGACCACACTTCGTTATTATTGATCATTTATTTATTTGCTGGAAATTAGAACTGAATCTAGGATTAGTTTTGAAACAAATCTTTGTGCATAACAAATGAAATTAATTATAAAGGCTAATTGATGTCTGCGTACAACACGTTTCCTTATCCACGAAAGAGAGAAAGTGAAAGAAAAAAACGATTGGAGGAGGCTGGTTCTCTCATTCTCGCTCTGCAGATGCTCTGTGTAACTGTTTTCTCTCTATAGTGAAGCGTTCAGTTTTTCCACTTACAAAGTCCACCATGTAAATAGCAAATGTGCTATGGCGCGACACAACTGACTCTTAAAGGGAATGGGAGGTGAGACTCTGACTGGTTTATTCTCAAAACACACCTATAACTCATTAAGAGAATAAGCTCAACCCTGTCAGACCACGCGCTGCAGTGCATGTATTTTTCCGTCCTGAAAATAGCAAAAGTAGATTCTGACATGCGCTTGCTTTTGCACCATGCGCTTCAGACTTTGTGCCTATATAGTTAAAATAGAGCCCTGAGAGAGAAATGTGTGAAAATGTTAATGCCTGTCTGAGAAAAGTGCATAAAGTGTGTTGGGAGGGGTTTTACAGCCTTGGGGTAAACACGACACAACAGGGTTAGTTGTAGCAGGGTGTTACAATTAAGCCACACACTGTTGCACACCAACTAAACTAACAAAATAATTTTAGAATTTTGAGTAAAATGTTGGGAACCTTTTAAATAAAAAATGTTTTTATATCCTTTTAGTAGAAAAAATATTGCTGATAATGCAAATAAATGCACTGTATAATAATGGATAATAATGCAAATAAATCTAAATGTGTTTATCCAACAGATAAATAAATAAACATGCTGTGCTATGTAAAACAAAAAATTAGTTTAGGAAATATACATTTTAAATAAACTGAATTTAAAATAATTGTTGGAAATCTGACTTTATTACCATGTTACAACTAATCCCTTTGTCTGTTAAACTTCACCCGCAGATGTGGTAAATAGTAACATTTGGCACTTTTGTCAACGCTGCACAGAAACCATAGGTCCCGCGATCATACTTGCTGTGCTCATTTGTAGGAGAGGGTTGTGTGTCGTTGGTAAAAAAATGAAGGTCTGTCTAATCTCATTACTTTGTTCATTATTTGGCCAAAACCAAAAAGGGTTACTTTGTGCCCCGCTCTCCCCTAACGAGGGACCACTGTGTTAAAATAAAAGTGCTTAAAGGCTTAACTAGGCAAGTTAAGGTAATTAGGCAAGGTATTGTATAATAATGGTTTGTTCTGTAGACAACCGAAAAAAATAATGTTTAAGGGTGCTAGTGATATTAGCTTTAACATTATTATTATTTTGTTTTATTAAAAACTGCTTTTAATCTAACTGAAATAAAACAAATAAGACTCTGAAGAAGAAAAAATATTATAGGAAATACTGTGAAATATTCCTCATTCTGTTAAACATAATTTGGGAAATATTTGAAAAAGAAATAAAAAAAATCACAGGAGGTCAAATAATTTTGACATCAGCTGTATATAATAAATGTATTGTTTTTAAAGTAAGACAGATTAAACTTTATGGTTCTATGCCTTCATCCTAACCCTAATTCTACCTGAATAAAAATAGCACGGTGTTGTACTCAGTGTATGCTAATTTACCTCATGCAATTCAAATACGGTGAGGAGTTAGTCAAACGTTCATGATTCTTGCTGTCTGTAGGTGTTAAATAGGCCATTATATTCACCCTGAAGAAAAGATTTGAGGGTATTTTCTGGAGGTTTCTATGAAGCAGCATAGTTAATTCTAGCTTAATAGATATGTGCTTGCTTCTGTATTTTTGCAGGCCTGAAGCGGAGTCACACATGTGAGGTCTGCAGTGTTACGCTCAACTCTGTGGCCCAATACCACGCACATCTGCAGGGATCCAAACACCAGAACAAGTAAGTATTTGCACTGCATATCATTCTGAATAAAAAAAAGACAAGAGTTGAAGGAAAAATGTTTTAAAATCACATAATTAAAATGTGGAAGAAAGCACAGATAAGTGCAGTGTGCCTGTTATGCTATATTGAAGGTATTTAATTAAGTTTGCCTCTAACCAAGGTCAATAAACATTTTAAATGTCTCATGTGAAATGCAGTGTCAGATGTTTTTCATAGCGTCTGAAACATTTTATTTAAGGATCTGGTATCTCTAAATTCGACCTTTCCTAGAGTTTACACTGCTCTGATTAGTCAGATGACTCAGCATGTTGTATTGTTGTCATAATACTGGGATTTCTGACTTCAAAACAATGCCATGATAGATAGATAGATAGATAGATAGATAGATAGATAGATAGATAGATAGATAGATAGATAGATAGATAGATAGATAGATAGATAGATAGATAGATAGATAGATAGATAGATAGATAGATAGATAGATAGATAAATGGATGGATGGACAGACGGATGAATGGATGGATGGACAGACGGATGGACAGATAGGTGGATGGATGGATGGACGGACAGATGGATAGACGGACTGACGGACAGACGGATATAACGATGAATGGATGGATGGATGGATGGATGAACTGAAATATATATACTGTAGGTAGGTAAGTAGACAAATAGATACAGCGGGGAAAATAAGTATTTGACACATCAGCATTTTTATCAGTAAGGGGATTTCTAAGTGGGCTACTGACACAAAATTCCTACCAGATGTAGCCATCAAGCCAAATATTGAATTCATACAAAGAAATCAGAACATTTAAGTATACAAGTTGAGTCATAATAAATAAAGTGAAATGACACAGGGAATAAGTATTGAACACATGAAGATAACAAGGTGCAAAATGGCATAGAAAGTCAGGAGATCTGTCAGTATTGAGAGAAAAACCCTGCTCCCTATCAGTACTAATTGATATCAGCTGCTTTAGTCCTAATTGATGGCCTATAAAGGCTTCTCATTACTCAGGAGGCACACAGGAAAGACTTCATGATGGGTAAAAACAAAGAACTCTCTCAAGATCTGCGAAGTCTTATCGTTGAAAAGCATTTTGATGGGAATGGTTATAGGCGCATTTCCAGAATGCTGAATGTTCCTGTGAGCACTGTGGGGGCTATTATCCGGAAATGGAAAAAGCATAAGTTCACCATAAACCGGCCACGATCAGGTGCTCCACGTAAGATCCCTGTCCGAGGAGTCCAAAGAATAATCAGGAGAGTTCTCCAAGAGCCAAGAACCACTCGGGCAGAACTTCAGGAAGACCTCGCATCAGCGGGTACTATTGTTTCAAAGAAAACTATAAGCAATGCACTGAACCACCATGGCATCCATGCACGCTCACCACGCAAGACTCCATTGCTGAACAAAAAGCATGTTGAGGCCCGGTTAAAGTTTGCGAAACAGCATTTGGAGAAGCCTGTGGATTATTGGGAAACTATAGTATGGTCAGATGAAAGCAAAATTGAACTTTTTGGCAGTCATTCTACACATCATGTTTGGAGAAGAAATGGCACTGCCCACCACCCCAAGAACACTATACCAACAGTTAAGTTTGGGGGTGGAAGCATCATGGTTTGGGGCTGCTTTTCAGCAAGGGGTACTGGCAGACTTCATATTATTGAAGGTAGGATGAATGGAGAAATGTACCGGGACATTCTGGATAAAAATCTGCTGCCATCTACCAGAAAGCTGAAAATGAAAAGAGGGTGGACATTTCAGCAAGACAATGATCCCAAACACAAGGCCAAGGAAACAATGAAGTGGTTTCAAAGAAAGAAAATCAAGTTGCTTGAATGGCCCAGTCAATCACCTGACCTAAATCCCATAGAAAATCTATGGAGAGAACTGAAGATCAAAGTTCATAAAAGAGGCCCAAGGAACCTTCAAGATTTAAAGACCGTTTGTGTGGAAGAATGGGCCAGAATCACTCCTGAGCAATGCAGACGACTGGTCTCTCCATACAAGAGGCGTCTAGAAGCTGTGATCACCAACAAAGGCTTTTCTACAAAGTATTAAGTAAAGTGTGTTCAATACTTATTCCCTGTGTCATTTCACTTTATTTATTATGACTCAACTTGTATACTTAAATGTTCTGATTTCTTTGTATGAATTCAATATTTGGCTTGATGGCTACATCTGGTAGGAATTTTGTGTCAGTAGCCCACTTAGAAATCCCCTTACTGATAAAAATGCTGATGTGTCAAATACTTATTTTCCCCGCTGTATACCGTCTGAAAAATAGATATATGGATGGATTGATGGATGGATAGATGGACCAATTTCATCAAACGGGGAAATATTGCCACAGCATTAATTATAAAACCACAATTACATTTAACATAATTACAACCATTAAAATGGTTCTGCATTTCTTACTTTCCTTATGTAAAGGTTGTTTCTAATTTTCACTGTCTTTATATTTCGACAACACAAACCTTACTTCCAAAGCATGGTAATTGTTCATGGACAGCCAATGAAATCCAGACTAAAATCTGTCACTTTACAAAACTTTTCATTCCCTGTTTCACACTGGTGGAATAATCGTCCTTTTCCCACTCGGACAGCAGATTCACTTGTATCATTCAAACAACAACTAAAAACCCATCTCTTCTGAGCGCCCTAACCCCAGTGAAAAAAATCAAGACCACCAGTAGAAGAACTTTCTCTCTCTCTCTCTCTCTCTCTCTCTCTCTCTCTCTATATATATATATATATATATATATATATATATATTAAAAACACTTACACAAGCACTAAAATCTCTGAGCACAAACAAGTAACTTGTATAACTAGCTCTGATTGTGTGTTTTGCATCTTCTTGGTAAATCACTGAATGTCTCCTCAATTGTAAGTTGCTTTGGACAAAAGCGTCTGCTAAATGACTCAGTGTAATGTAATGTAAATGAAATCATGCTTATTTATCATACGCATTTACAGGTTTGTGCACGACTAGAATTACTGACGACTCGCAATACTTGCATACTAAATAACAATTAATCTCGTCTTCCTTGAAGAAATTCATCCAATTTACAGTTGTTATTAATCATACTGACATGTAACTGACAGAATCTGTACACCAGATTCACTGCTAGTGAATGCCACTGAGCAAGAGCAGCACTCAAAACAGAAGGCACGAGGTGTTAACTCGTATTGTGTTCATGCGGGAGAAGTTAATGGAGTGTTGTATATGCGATCAATATATGCCCCAAATCAATATTCCGCCTGACTGGACGCTGTCCTCGCAGTACCGTACGGGCCACAGTTTCCATGCGGAGGCTGTAGCGGACCAGGCAAGGTCAGTGTGTGACGTGCTGGGATGCTCTGAATGTTAATTAGCTGGAGATGAAGGAGAAGGAACGTGAGAGGCATGCTGGGAACTGCCAGACGTGTTCAAGCTGTCACACAGTGGCTTTATTTTACTCTCTATTGATGTGTCCGTAAGTATGCAGAAGATGAGGATGTAATGAATGCACACAAGGATAACCGTCAAACGTGCTAGACCCTGAGAGGCTTGGACAATAGCAGAGCGGATGCTTTAATCTGAGGGAATCATGAGTGACAAGCTGTACAGTGGAAAAATACTACTTAAACAGATTATCCAGATTTTTACTTAACTCTTAGGTTTAACCCTACGGGTAATTTACATACTAATGAATTGTTACTAGCTAGAGTTGTATGATATTTCATTACATTTACATTGTTACATTAAAGAATTGTCAACGGAAACAAATCATTATAATAATATCTAATATTTATTCACTGAAAGCATTCCTATTTGAAGTCTTTTGATGAAATTAAAGGATTAGTCCACCTAAAAATGGAAATTCTGTGATTAATTACTTGCCCTCATGTTGTTTCAATGCCTAAGACCTTCGTCCATCATCAGAATGCACATTAAGATATTTTAGATGAAACCTGAGAGCTCTCTCTTCATAGACAGCAAGATGTTCAACTCGGAGAGCACGGAGAGAACATGCAAACTCCACACAGAAATGCCAACTGACCCAGCCAAGGCTCAAACCAGCGACTTTCACAGTGAGGCGATTGTGCTACCCACTGCACCACCGCGACGCCAACATTCATAATTATTTAGGGGTATGATTTTTGCTTGGGGTGCGAGAGGTCCCGGGTTCAATACATCAAGACTTAACAAGCAGATGAGATGCTTTTTGTTTGTTGTACAGGCTCCACCCTCTTTTAGAAATGAGGGGAACAGCAGCTCATTTGCATCGAAAGAAAAAAATAATATATAATAAATGATCTGTGAGGCATTTTGAGCAGAAACTTTACAGGCACAAACAGGGCATAAAACAAAAGCATGTGCACACATTTACTAAGCCCGTTTAGTCATGGATGCTTAGACGCTCCCGCTGAACTCCTCACCTCCATAAACACTGCTAAACAGTGAGGATTTGGTTGTCAGGGATCTATATTTCATGCTTTTTTTGTGCTGTTCCAGTTAGTTCCTCTTTTAAATCTACACTCAATTAACCCCCAAAACACACTGAAACTAATTATTTGACTCAGTGCATGCAGTCACAGATCTGTCCAGAGGCCAGTGTCCGAATCTGCGGGACTCGGCTCAATTGAGCATTTTGTTGCCAGTTTTGTGTCGAACACCGGAATTGTAAAGTCAATGACGAATCAATGTGAGAGCAATGAGCATCACTGCTGGAGTTCTGTTTGGGTCAATCATCACACAGCCCGCCACTCAGTTTCATTGAAATCACTGACAGTAAAGTGATTTAGATTTTGGAGAAGCCCTTAAAACACAATGTTAACATTGCATTAATAATGGCTATGGTTTCATTTAATGCTGATTAAATTGTGCACAGAATATGATTGAACCATTTGCAAACAAAATCACCACTTTTTTACCAGTATATAAAAGAGAACAAAATCATAACTTGCAGTGACAAAAATACGAGTAAACATGGACGTTGCTGCAACACGCATTAAGGTCTAGCCCTAAACAGTCGATTGGGGGAAAATATCGATGCAGCACTATATTGTAAAATTGTACTTGGCAATACTACTTTATATCGATACACAGATGCACATTTCAATATATGAACAGAATTTTATTATATCTCAAAATCATTGAGAACGCAGATAGAACCTTATAATTACAAGTTGACAATATTTAAAACCTTAATAATATCGTATAATGGCAGAAACATTGTGATAATATCATACTTAACAGCCATTAGTAGAGTGTCAGCAAATTGTGTAAATGTGTCTGAAATGGCATGAAGTTTTACTAATTAGTAACAAACTCATCAAAATTCAAAATACCAACTGGAGTTTATTCTAAAGCACCTTTGTGGTGCGTACTTTAACTTAACCACAACCTGATCTCATGGGAAAGCTCCAGTATGATGTGATGTGATAAATTGACAGATCACATGAATCTCATAAAATCTAAATTGTAGAATTGTTTGAAAAAAAAGGTTACTATTAAGCTCTGTCCCAAACCACAACCCCCAATATGTCATGAGTAGACTCTATGAAATTGTATAACTGAGGAATTTATGCAGTTCAGTTGCTAAATGTATGACATGTTGCTAAATGTTGCTAAATGTAAGTTACCAGAGAATGTAAAAACTGAAATATTTTGTAATGAGTAAATTAGCTCAACAACCTGTTCTCAGGTAAAATGTAGCCATAACATTTGGCTATTTAGTGGATAATTTGTATGAATCTGTTCAGTGTCATGTGAAATGTAAACTCTAAAAAATGCTTGGTTATTTCAACCCATATTGATTAAAATATGGACACACCCAATTAGGTCCCATGAATTTAATTTTAAAAATGAGTCCAGTGGTAGATTTTGTGATTTTTGGGTTGAAATATCCCAGCATTTTTAGTGTGTACAATTAAAAAAATAATTATTATCTATGAAATCCCACATTAACAACTTTCCTAAACATGACATACTGTACAGTATATGGCTAAGCAAAAGAAAAAAAAATGCTTGTCTGCTTTAACCTTATGCTGGGTCAAATATTGACAAACCCAACAGTTGGGTTAAAAAGCGTATGGCTTTGTCAGCCTGATCTCATGAAAAAACGTAAGTATTTTACGTTTTGCCAGTTTAGTGGCTAATTCGTACGAATTCGTACGACTTCAGTCGTACGAAATGGTACAATTTTAAAAAGGAGGCGTGGCACCTGACCCCACCCCTAACCCCAACCGTCATTGGGGGATAAGCAAATAGATTGTACGAATTAGATCGTACGAATTCATACGAATTAGCCACTAAATGAAAAAGTTACGAATTGCCGTGAGATTGTGTTGGCTTTGTATATATACAGAGCTAAATTGAACTGAAAAACACTAAAAACTGAACTACCCTGATCCAGTTACTATGACCATTTATGTGAAGCTGCTTTGACACAATCTACATTGTAAAAGGGCTATACAAATAAAGCTAAATTGAATCGAATATTTGATGAACGTTGCGTTGAGAGATACCAGCATTTTTTACGTAGCGTCCAGTTTGACAAACTGTGAGTTGTGTGTTATAACCATACACTATATATTTAAAAAATGATGGGTTATTGTAATCCAAATTTGGATTAAATATAAACAAACTCTTATTTTTTCAAGTTTTAATATTAGCAGATTGATGGACTTGTTCATATTTGATGTAAATATGGTGTGAAACAACCCTTTGTATTGATTGAGAAAATTGTACAATGAAAATTAAAAATTGCATAATATTCAGAATGTCATAGCGCACTAAAAACAATTATATTACATTGGTGTAATCACCGCATTTGACTTTGCATTTGACTGCATTGTTGTGTTTATAAGTTTACAATGCAATATTTGATTGACGTTTGCACCATGTTACTTCAAAGTACTATTTTATTGTACATAGCATTCTAAAGTAATGAATGTAAGACGATGTAAATCCAACTAAAAATCCTTTTAGTCAAGGTGAACTTTTGAGTCAAGCGAAAGTCATGACACAACATCTTTTTGCTTTCCTTCTCAGCTTGAAGAACAAATGAAGTCTGATGGGTCTGGTTTATTTCATCTCCAGTCCTGTGAGTTTTTGAGGATTGGTCTATGAATGTCCCAGCATCTTCTGCCTCTCTGAGACGTGACAGTGATATCGGGTCACATTCTCTTGATCCACTGTTTTTATGATATGGACACTATCAGTGCATTATGGATCATGAACACAGTGCATTTTGGCAAACTTTGTACATTCTGAACATTTCAATGTATATATTTAAGGCATGTAGAATTGGCACAATTTCGGCTTTTAATGTGGTGTGATTAAACATTGTTTGTATTTTAAAGTAAATGTGTAAAATTATAGTTCAAATGACATAGGTCTCAGTCCACTGGAGATGTATTCAGTGTGTGGGTTTTATTTTGTACACACAGTCTGAGGGAATTCTCTAATGCTATTAAAATGAGACTTTGTCAAGAATTTGATGCTGAATTGATTACGAGAGCAGTTAACTGAAAAACAACGTTGGATTTAATTCACTTTTAAAACATCTTTCTTAGAAATCTTCAGTACTTCAAGACTTTATTGTGATTTTTGTTGCTCTCAATGGTTAGCAAATACATTTTTTACATTTGAAGTGATAGAAAGTGAGCTAATGACTTTAGAAGAAAGAAATCTGAGTGGTCATTATTAGGAGGCATTATTGAGATGAAAAAGTTAATAGTGTGCTGTAGTTTGCTGAGATTAGATTATTTTGGTTCCCAAAGAAACAAACGCTGACTTACATTTGTGCAACACTCTATTTAAAAGAGCAAAAAAGTAAAGTCTAATCATCAAAAAGACAGTGACTTTAACATAAAGCCTACATGCAGGCTTATTTATTCTTACACATCACAGTTGTTTGAATTGTGCATTTTTTGTTCAATGTTTGACGTAATCTCAACTGAAAAGGGAATAGAGGGTGGGACAGTTTTTTATTTTATCACAGCTCTGCCAGTGAGGGCGGATGAGCTGAAGCACATCAAATGAAAAGCAAATGAGAAGCGTCTTGAAGGAGGCGGGTCATGTCAGATACTAAAGAGGATTTGATTGGTCAACATTTCATGAGAAACTTAAGTATGAGATGATGTGAAAAAAAAACGTTGATCCATTTAGGGGAAAGTGACAAACTCATACCTGTCAACACTGGAATGAGCTAATTAGGGTTTTTCGTTTGATCACATTAAATAACAGAGATGTCACTTTAAAAACACAGATCACAGATGCACAGATCTATAATAAAAGCATTTGACCGCCTGCTTAACTTTTTATGCTCATTTAGGACAAAAATTGTTTTGTATAAAAGAAAAACCACAAAGATCATCATGTTTAGATATTCATTCATTCATTCATTCATCTTCTGCCGCTTTTCCGGGGCCGGGTCATATGGGGCAGCAGTCTTAGGAGAAAACCCCAGACTTTTCTCTCCCCAGACACTTTCTCCAGATATTATTATACTATTATTATGTGTATATGTCAGTTTAATAATGCACCCAAAACACTTTTCACTTTTGTTCGGCTTCAAATCGCATGTACAAAAATCTATTTGGGAAACAGCATCTATTTACGGAGCGCGTCTGACAGTCACGCACCACATGAACAGTTTTGAGGATTGCATAGGAGGGGCAACGGCACCTGTAAGGGAAAGAAAGGGGATCCTGCCGTTTTTATATTTAATTCAAAGTGTTTTCAGGCATAAATAAAATGAAAGCACAGAACAGATTCACAAGGGACACCCCCTGGTGGTTCAGCAGTATGGGTTGCGTACAAGCAGCAACCTCCTGCTCTCCTTTGTGAAGCTGATACGGAAGTAACTGAAACTACAATTCATAGAAATTCTGCTAGTCCTGGCTCCATATTAGAGCACATTTCTATTGAGCCCACTGTTAAAATGGTCAACTTTACAGCAGAAAATAAGGTGTTTACAGCCTGCTACAATGAAAGGTTTTGGTGCATACACTGAAAAAAAACTTATTCAAAGATGATTCCTTGGATTTACTCAATTTTTTTTTACGTTAAGTGGTTGTAAACAATTTAATTGTGTTGATATTAAACAAACAAATTAAGTTGAACATTATTCAATTTAATTTGTTTGTTAAAAATCAACACAAATAAATTGTTTGCAACAGTTTTGCATGCAACACTTTTTTTAGTGTATAGCTAATATTACACTTCATGACAACTGTGAGGGGGGTTAATTTTTTTTATAACTCATCCTTTTTGTTTATATTAAGATATATGAAGTCTGCATAATTAAGGGCGGTGCCTCTTGAGTAACAGCTAGGTCTTGCTGGTCACTGCTGGTCCGGCTGATTAGCTGCTGAACTCGACACATACATCGTTTTTTTCTTTTGTTTCATGAGGCTTTACAGTCAATTTCCTTTTGGAATTATTTCCTAAAATTATCAGATAATATGGCGTGCTGTGCACTTAACTGTGCTCACAAACCATTTCCCAGTTGCCCCCATTTCTCAGGTGAGTGAATTTATATACTTATATATCATATGTATAAATAAATTAGTTTTATTTAAGATCATCTATATTTTGCTTTAGAGCTGTAATGCACTCCAGAATCTGACAGATTTATTAGCTGTAGGCTCTAGAACAGTCATCTGAAGCATTATCATACAGTGTTATGCCTGGATTTCATTAACAGCCTTGTATTTACAGACCATATTTGCAGTTTTTGGAAGTTATTCGCATTTTCCTCCTGTAGAAAAACGTCACAAGAACAATGCTTAGTGGCTTAATGCGTTAAAATAGTTTTTAAACGTCTAAATGCTTTATTAGTATAGTATATAACCAAGCACATGTGGTCAGAACACAAACGAGTCGCAGGTAATGAAGTATTAAGCGTTTCTCCCAAGGAAAAGCCGTTTTAAGCAGAAGGCTAGCAGGCATCTGTAGCTCCGCTCAAGCTCCGCCTCTTTGCCCTTATTTGCTTACTCCCAGTTGGAGCAATGACACGTGAATAAAATGGCGACTATTGGCCACGCCTACTTGTAGCTTAATTTGCGCTCTTCAGAAACCTATGGGTGACATCATGGATACTACGTCTGTTTCTTTTACAGTCTATGGTTGCATATAGGGAGAATCCGCTCTTTTATGTTCATTGCCACTCTTCAAAAAGGAATAAAAATATGGGAGAAACACAGGAAAACAGCTTTAAAAGACGATAGCCAGATAGAACTGTAAAATACGGGAGAATCCCAAGAAAAATGAGAGGGTTGACAGGTATGGACAAACTACAAGCTTTACATGTTTATATCAGTTGTCTATCTTCTAAATGCAAATTGTGTCATTGTTATATCACATTAGCTCATAAATATCTTTAACAAACTGATAATAATATCTAAAAAAATGTATTTTAATTTCACTGAACCTTTAATATATTATTTTGTTTGTTATTAAAAAACAATGATTAACACAATTGCGATTCTATTTTCAGTGAATGATAAAGCTTTAATTCAAACACTGCTTGACTTATAGTGTTATGACTCTAATTCACACTTATTTAGCAAGAGCCACTGCTGTTTTTGTACTGAAATGAGAGGCAAACACCAGAAACAAAAGCTTCCTCCACAAAATCATGTCTTTGTGTCTCCCAAAGGGCTTTCTGCTGGAATGATGTGCGTGGAAAGAAGACCCAAAGGGCTTTAAAGATAAAAGGACCAATGTAAAAACCATCTTTAAAAATGAAATGAATTGCAAGTGATTCCCAGCAGACAGTGGCTAGATGTGTAAAGGGCCTGGAGGGATTTCTTTGTAGATCTGACGACTGCTTCCTAATGGACTGACGGCGACACAAACTATCAGTAAGTATCACAATCTCCATTTTAGCAGGTTTCATCATGCTGTGAGGAAGTCATACTGCTATTTATACTGTCTATTTATTTTTTATTAATCATGTGTCATTCCTGGAATTCTGTATGTATTTGGTACCAAGTAAAGAATATTTACATAACAGCTGTCTTCAGCTTCCCTCCACTAATTTTTGAACGCATTTTGGAATATTGAAACAAAAAAGCGCTTAAACTGAAATGCCAAGATGTGCATACAGTTGGAAAATGAGCATGAAAAATGTATGCACACGAGTATGACAAACTGTTTTTCAAAACGAAAAACATCTGCATAAACAATGAAGAAAACACATTTACAGAATAAATTCCAATAATAATAATAACTAAAATTGACATGATGGGACAGCATTTATGGGCAAAAAATGGACCAACCACATTACACAACATCTGAAATGTTGCTTAGGTCATTCCGAAATGCCTTAACCAAAGTCTGTCATCCAAGTTGTTTGATATCATAACCTTCAACAATTGTTTTAAGCAGCTGCGCTCCCAAAAAGCAGTCTTATACATTCATTTTATCTTCTGAGGCGCTAGTAATTTATTATTTCAAAAAAAAGGCCTTTTAACCTGTAAATTGAACTTTTCTTTTTGATATTTCGATGGATATTCGCAAAAGTTTCATGCAATTTTCCAGTTTTGAGCATTCTAATTGGATGTAAACATTGTTATGGACCTATAAAACTACTATTGACCTGTAAGCATGGTATTTATATATATATATATATATAAAACATTATTAAACACAATTATTTTCATAAAAATCCCTTTTAACATGGAATCATAATAAAAATACAGCATTGATTATTAGAATAAGTCTATTTAAACACTTTGGTTTAATTAAGTAGCTTTTTTCACAACACGTCATCAATTGGCCATTTTGGAGGCACAGAACATAAACAATGTCATTAAATTAAATAAACTTGCAAATTTTGCTAATTGTTGCTATGGAAATGATTAATTATAGTCATGTTTTTGGACTGCACTAATATGTAAAACATTTAATGTAGGCGGGTACTAAAGACTGCCAAACGTTATAACAAATAAAGCAGAATCAAAAAACAAAAGGTGTTTGTTGTTGGCCAAATTGAACCAAGATTTCCAGAACAAACATCTCAACAAAATGAATGTTTGGTTTATCTTTTCTGGTCAAGTAAGTGAAAAAGCGAATATCCTATTTAATACTGCTCATATATGAAAATATTGCACCCTTTCCTGCTCACTATATCTTTCTCTGTATGATTTAGCAGCTTTCACACATTTCTCTATATAGATAGGATAACTATGCAAAACAGCATATTAGTACACTAAACATACAATCCATGCTGTTGTTTACAACTGAGTAGGCCTATCTCCAATACGGACGCGCATACAGGTAACAGAGAAAATCCTTATGTACATTATCTCACAGAATTGAGTACACCCCTTGCATTTCTGTAAATATTTTAATACATTTTTAACATACTGAAACAAAAATGCCCTGCTGAAAAAAACTGCTTAAACCAGCCTAGGCTGGATGGCTAATTTTAGAGGGGTTCTGGCCTTTTCCAAATTGGTTTCCAGCCATTTCCAGCTTGATCTTAA